TCTAACTCTTTTCTCGGAAGGCCTTACTTTTGATAAACTGTGCATCGAACTTGTCCATCAAGAAGCCCGTCTTCACTATCAACAACGTTTAGAGATCACTGTTGGAGCCCCGACTTTTGCAGCACACGGCCAACAGCCTGTTGGTCCAGTACAGCAGCTGTAGCAGGTACAACAGCCCCAACAGCCGCAGCAGCGCGGCGGACGTGGTCGCGACAGAGGACCACACGAATGGGGTGTCCGCGGACGAGGCCGTGGTGGTCAATACTACCAGCAGCAGTTCCATGGTGCTGGACAACAACAACAGCCGCCGAACAGGGCTTACGGTCGAGCACCTCCACAGCCACAAATGATGGGTATACCGGGTACAGTGAATTGTAATCTGTTAAGTCATTGTCTTATATTTCTGCACCATATATTTTTTGTACTTACTATGATTCTGCAGGAGCTTCACCCTTTGAGAATAATTTTGGTTCAGTACCTCCTCCCATCGTCTGTCAAATCTATCACTCACCAGGTCACTATGCTGTTAATTGTTCATCACGTTTTGTCCAACCTTATGCACCTCCTTTGGCTGTCCCTACCGGAGAATCTTCTTCTACTGTTTGGTATCCTGACTCTGGCGCTTCTGCTCATATGACCCCTAACGAAGGTATTGTAGACAATAAATCTGTTTATTCTGGACCACTAACTGTGACGGTTGCTAATGGTTCTAATTTACCTGTTATGACTGTTGGTGAATTAGCTTTATCTCCTACGCCGCGTCCCCTTCATTTAAAATCTGTTTTTCATGTTCCTCATCTTAAATATAATTTATTATCCATTCAAAAATTATGTGCCGATAATAACTGTTTTTTGATTTTTGATAAGCATACTGTTTGTGTTAAGGACCACAATTCGGGGGAAGTGCTTCTTAAAACTTCGAATAAAGGCGGCGTTTATCCTATTTCCTTGCCTCATCCCTCATCCGTTGCTTTCGCTACTCATGTTGCTCCGGGACCTGTCTGGCATCGGCGGTTGGGACATTGTGGCAGTCGTATTTGAGATAAACTTAAGAAGTCTGGTTCTATTTTTAGTAATTCTAATTTCTCTCATGATTGTATTTCTTGTCGGTTAGGAAAATCTCAACGGTTATCTTTTCAAGAAGTTTGGCATAAATCTACTGCCCCTTTATTTTTTGGTTCATTCTGATGTATGGCAGTCTTCTATTCTGTCTGACAGTGGTTTTAAATATTATGTTTTATTTATTGATGATTTTTCTCGGTTTACTTGGCTATATCCTATGCGCAATAAAAGTGAAATTCTGAAACATTTTATTAATTTTAAAACAATGGCTGAAAATCTTCTCAACTCTAAAATTAATTTTTTTCAAAGTGATGGAGGGGGTGAGTTTGATAATCATGGTATGCGTAATCTTTTTCTTCAGCATGACATTTTATTTAGAAAATATTGTCCTGACACTCCTGAACAGAATGGGGCGGCTGAAAGAAAACACCGTCATCTTCTCGAATTAACTCGCACTATGCTTTTTGAGGCAAAAATACCAGCTAAATTCTGGGTAGATGCGGGCTTTACTGCTACCTATATTATCAATCGTCTCCCTACTCCAAATTTAAATGGCTTATCTCCCTTTGAAAAATTATTTCATCACTCCCCAGACTTTTCTTTTATGCACATTTTTGGGTGTGCCTGTTTTCCAAACTTTAATGCCACTTCAGCAAATAAACTTTCACCTAGATCAATATTGTGCGTTTTTCTGGGATATGCTCCTGAGTATAAAAAGGTTATCGTTGTTATGATCCGCTTACCGGCAAAATTTACATCAATAGGAATGTTAGATTTCATGAAAATTATTTTCCATATTCTGGGTTGATTTCTTCTAAGTCCAAAAACACTGCTTCGGTGTCCCCTGCACAACCGCATGCCTACATACCATTGGTGTCACCGTCCCGGATGATTTCCCATCACAATATCTCGGCCATCTCATCCTCTCTCAGCCCCGAAAACCTGCACACTGCCACCTTACCTCGACCACCATCTCCCATGCAGCCTGGCAGTCCTGCTACCCCGCGGCCATCTTCCTCCAAGCACACAACCAGTCCACCCGAGACTCCACCACGAACCCCACTGCATCCCGACAGTCCCTCGAACCACCAGCCCACTCCCAGCATACCCAGCAGCCCTCAACTGCCACCTTCTCCCCCGAAACAGCTCGGTCACCCGATGCAAACACGAGCTAAATCAAGAATTTTTAAACTGAAAACTATTTTTACTCTTAAAACAGATATTATGGCATGTGATCCGTCTTGTTTTTTCCGTTGCTAATAAAGATGCTAAATGGAGGGCGGCTATGGCTGAGGAGTTTAATGCTTTAATTGACAATCATACATGGGATTTGGTTCCGTTTAATCATCATAAAAATGTGGTTGGGTCTAAATGGATTTATAAAACCAAATTTAATTCTGATGGTTCTGTTGAGCGACATAAAGCATGTCTAGTAGCTCAAGGATTTACTCAACAGGCTGGAATTGATTTCTTTGAAACTTTTAGTCTTGTGGTCAAACCTACTACTATTCGTATTGTTTTATCTCTGGGTGTTTCGTTTGGTTGGTCACTTAAACCTGTTCGCACCCCTCTTCCTTCTAGAACTAAGTTATCTCTCACCAATGGTGAAATGCTTGCAGATCCTACTGAGTACAGAAGTATGGTCGGTGCTTTACAGTATTTGACCATGACTCAACCTGATATTACTTTTGCTGTTCACCTGGTTTCCCAATTTATGCATGCTCCTCGCACTTCACATATTTTGGCTGTTAAGCGCATTTTCAGGTACTTACAAGGTACTGCAAATCACGGCTTATTGCTTCAGCCAGACCGGTCGTCTCCTACTATTCAAGCTTATTCTGACGCTGGTTGGGCTGGGTGTCCTGATAGTGGCCGGTCCACGTCTGGTTTTGCTATTTTCTTGGGTCCTAATTTGATCTCTAGGAAGTCAAAGAAACAGCCCACGGTTTCCCGGTCATCTACTGAAGCTGAATACCGGGCCATTGCTTACACAGTTCAGGATACATTACACACCAGGTCCATTTTGTTCGAGTGAGGCGTTCCTATTCGTACGCCTGTCCGATTGTTGTGTGATAATGTCTCCGCTTCATATTTATCCACTAATCCTATTCAGCATGCACGCAACAAACACACCAGCATTGATTATCATTTTGTCGAGAGCGTGTCTCACATGGAGATTTAATTGTTCGTCATGTACCTACGCAGTATCAGCTTGCAGATATCTTCACCAAGTGTTTGTCTCCACGGCGGTTTATTTTTCTTAGAGACAATCTGCGCGTTGTTTCCCCTGCACAGATTGAGGGGGTGTAATAGTGTATTATTAATTAGCATTAATTAGCTTTCCATATTTCATTAGTTTCCTATTGTAATTTGGATACTCCGTTATTATATACTCCGTATATGACATCTAGGGCTACCACATTGGTAAGTCATTCCATTATTCTCACACGAGTTACATCTTTTTATGCTCGAATTACGTACTTATATATGAACTTATCTCAACACGTTACATTTTTCATACATCGCAAGTTCAGGAATAAATTTTTGGAAAAATTGAAAATAATAATCCCAACTATCGTTGGTCCGCTGATAATAATCCCAACTATTGATTATTTTTGTACGATCCCAACTATATGGACCATCCGCCAATAATGGTCCATGACCAGATATTACCTCCTATAAAAAATAAATTTTAAATAGAAATTAAGCGTAAAATTAAAAGTTGGGATTATTTATAGGGATTACTTGTTATATCTCTTCTCATCCACTTTAGAAACTACGAGAATTTATTTATAGGGACCATTATTGGCGGAAGGTCCCTAAAGTTGAGATTATTCAGAAATAATCGATAGTTGAAATTATTATGGGCGGACCATCAATAGTTGGGATTATTACTATCAATTTTTCCTAAATTTTTCAAAACCGCAAGTTACATATGCCGTAAAGCGAGTTACACTAAAAAAATAAAACTATTTTTAACGCGAGTTACACTGCAAAAAATCACACTTCACATGTGTTTAAGATGGGAAAGAATGATTGTTCAAAAAATTATTTTTAACCTTGATATCTATTGAAACCAATATTTTATTTGTGATATTTAGCATTACACAATTTGTACTTCAACTTAGAGCATCTCCAATGGTAGAATGTGCACGGTGCACACGTGGCATGAGAAATAGCCACATAAATATTAACAAATAAATTATATCTCTCCTTATTTGAATGATTTTATACAATTTTGGTATGTTTTTCCCTACAATGTCAACAACAATGTCAACATCTAGACGGTCTCTTTGACATTGTGGAGAAAAACTTATCAAAACTTTATAAAATCATTTAAATAAGGAGAAGAAGAATTTATTTACTACTCCCTCCGGTTCTAAATAAACTTCTCACTTTCCTTTTTGGGACGGTCCAAAATAAACTTCACACTTCCTTATTTCCTTATTTGGCAAAGAAATCTACACCAAAACAGTGCCAAACAGTGCCAAACAGTGTCCAAACAGTGCCAAACAGTGTCTCAACAGTGCCAAACAGTGCCAAACAGTGTCTCAACAGTGTACTCTACAGTAAAGTCAACTTTATTTTCTTAATAACTGTGAAGTCAAACACTGAAGTTTAAAAAGAACCGGAGGGAGTAATATTTATGTAGTTATCTCTTATGCCATGTGTGCACCGTGCACATCCTACCAAGATGCTCTTATATCTTGTTACATTTCTAATTAACATAATTTTGTTAGCGGTGTTAGGTGTTAAGAGTATGATGCCTTTCTGCAAAAAAAAAAAAGAGTATGATGCCCAACAAGTGTCCCAATCTCCAAGAGGGCGCGTTGCTCTAACCGTCTGGGATTCTGGGGCGCATCCTGTAACAGATTTCTGGATTTAAGAAATATATCTCACGCGTCCACGCCCTTATCTCTGGTCTTTGTTGATTCTTCCTGCAAAATCTAAAGCACGTACAAAACGTTTTCACCTCCGATTGATTCCCTCTCTTTCTGTCCGTACACCCTCTGATACAGACACCCCGCCTCGAACAATCCTTTCATCGTTCTTTCTTTTCCCCATTAATATCCTCTGATTCTCTCTCTCACTCTCTCTATATATATTCACACCAGCCCCATTCTCTGTCTCTATCTATCTCTCATTACAGATTCTTCGTAGGGATTCATTTCATTACATCAGCTCTCTCTAGCGACGATGTTTGACCTTAATCTCGCTGATGTGGAACCGGTCGGCGATAGAGAGTCGACGCCGTCGGAGAAGCTACTGGAACTCTCCGGAACCTCGAATTCTTCAGTGGTGAATGCCGAGGCTTGCAGCATTGTCGGCGACGAGGACGAGTACTCCTGCTCCGACGGTTACGCGTTCGGTATACTGAGGAGGGAGGAGTGCGAGGAGAGTGAGAATCGAGGTGGCTTTGAGACGAAGGACCTTTTTCCGGTGAGCGGGGGAGAGGCGGCGATGTTCCTGCAGCATCAGCTACACGTACAGCGCGATTGGTCGGGTCTCCCGCAGAATTATGGTTTAATGGCGGATCCGAGGATTATGATTGTGCCACAACAGAAACCGCATGTGAAGAAGAGTAGAAGAGGACCGAGGTCCAGGAGTTCTCAGTACCGCGGAGTCACGTTCTATAGGAGAACCGGAAGATGGGAATCCCACATTTGGTATGTGCATACCTTTACACTCTGGACGATGTCCTTTAGTTTCCCCGAGCAATTGCTATTCGAATATGGTTTATCCATATGCTAATACCTGTTTAGCTTCCTTATTGCTACTAGTACTTGATAGGAGTGACCACAGACTTGACAGTTTAGAGGAATCTCAGACTATTGAACATTCTTTTCTAATCTAAAAACACAAATGATCACTGATGTCTATCAAGTGGTTGTCTATATGCATTAAGATTTAAGAGACACCTTAGATGATTTATCTGTTAATCCACGACATATGATTTAATTCTAAAGTTCAACACTGATGGCTACCTATTTGCATGCAGGGACTGTGGGAAACAAGTTTACTTAGGTAAGTAAATGTTTGTGTTGTGTGGAATTAGTGAATTTTACTCCTGCATTTTGATGGACTTGTTCTTACTTTGTGATGTAAATTTGAACTCATAGGAGGATTTGATACTGCTCATGCTGCTGCCAGGTAATTAATGTCTTACTCTGGGCTTCCTGCAATATATCTTCTTGTGGTTCAAACGTGTGGAGTTTAAAGTAATGAATGGCTGGATGTAACTTGAGGAATTTCTACTAATATCAGGGCATATGATCGTGCTGCAATTAAGTTCCGTGGACTAGATGCCGATATTAATTTCAATGTCAGCGATTATGAAGAAGATTTTCAGCAGGTGCAGTAGTGTTTGACCAGAATGAATTTGATATCCCATCACATTATTGTCATTATGTTTATTAATGATATGCAGATGCAGAACTTCACAAAGGAAGAGTTTGTGCAGATACTACGTCGTCAGAGCACTGGGTTTTCCAGAGGGAGTTCGAAGTATCGGGGAGTTACTCTGCACAAATGTGGACGATGGGAGGCTAGAATGGGGCAATTTCTCGGAAAGAAGTAAGATGCTATTTCTTTGATTTTTGGTTAAAATTGATATCCCTCTATAGTTTTATGTCATTAAACTGGATCCTTCTACGTTGTCAACTTATCATAATAAGCTATGATAACATGTTCTTATTGCTTTGCACATATCATTTGGCTGTAGGTATATCTACCTGGGGTTATTTGACAGTGAGATAGAAGCTGCAAGGTTCTAAAAACATAAGTTCATTATTTATTTCTGTTGTACATATAATTCTGCCTCTCTACTTGGCATTTCCAGAACATATTTACTTACAATATGAGTTTTTATCAGGGCGTATGATAAGGCTGCCATAAAACTGAATGGGACGGAGGCAGTGACTAACTTTGAAGTAAGCTCATATGAAGGGGAGATGAGCTCTGAAATTGATAATGGAGGTACTACGTTTTCTTGTTTAAGATGTGTTTATGAAGCCCTCCATGGTTTCTAGCTTATATCATTAAGTTGATTAATTGTTGCTTGTTTAGGTGGCAACCAAGATTTGGATTTGCATTTGGGCATTGCTTCTACTAGTTGTGTTGATGGCATGGAGGCCCTACAATCACAATGTGGTTTTGCCAATCTGAAGCATATGGGATTTGGGGTAAGTGTATATTTTCAACTAATAGTTCATTTATTATGTTATAAACTTGTAAATGTATTTCAGTGTATTGGAAATCAGTTTAAAGAATCTCCTCATCATGCAGGCATCTACTTCAAGTAGAATGGGGTCTAAATTGCCGCATTGCTATGACTTGCTTCCTCAGCATCCACCTCTCTATAATACAACAAATACTCCTTTCTGCCCCACTTATAAGGTATACCCCTTGTCTAGCATGGTTTGAAGGGTTAGTGCACTATAATATCATTTCCATGCATTTGACTGCCTTGGTGAGTTAATTCACCCTTCGTTTGCTCATTAACCTCCAATCCTTGCTATTTTTATATCTATGTTGCCCTTGCTATGGCTTACTGGACTCAGCCACACGCGCCACATGTAAGCTCATTGTGTCAACCTTATACTTAAGGAGTTAATAACTTGTGTGGACATTTTACTGCCCTCCTGAGGCTCTATTGTCGGTTAGACATCCATTTTGCAACAGCTCTTGGCTCCGATATAAACTGTGAGCGGAGGAGACATAAAGACAGTGCTATTAGTCGTTAGTGTTTGTTCGGAACCCTGGGAAATGCTAGACAAAGAAACTAGGAGGTAATAAAGGAGAAATTTCAAAGGAATAAAATCAGCGGGAGTTCAAAAATTGGTTCAAACTCATTACATCAGTTTCATATGTTTGGTCAAACTCATTTTTGTTTGTCCATTTGTATTATATAAAGACTGAAACAAAAATATGGACACATGGTTAATTCTAAAAGGTTTTATCAGATTTGATTTCCCTTTATTGTTTACATGCTAAACACACATAAAAAACTTACAGACAAATAATGTGAACTAAAGTTTCTCTACACCTAATTACATGATCACTATCGTGTAAAAAACATAATTATAGTCAATAAAAGTAACTAATATAGTCGAAATGCAAAAGAGTTCACCTTTTTGTCCATCATCCTTACATTTGTTCTTTATATGTCATTATTACTTTTTTATAATCTTTTTTCTCCTCATCCCATTTACTTTTCTTGTTCCAGACATAGTTTGGGAGGAAATTGTGTTGATGTTAGCACTAATCAATTTTTCATATACTAATATACATACAGGGAAAATCAATGGAGAAGGGAAGGGAAAATGATCCTTCACCAAACTGGGCACAAGGTTACATAAGGACTCCCCCAGCAGCCCTTTTTTCTACTGCAGCATCATCAGGATTCGCTAATTCAAACTTTACTAATACTTCACCGGCTGCCAACCGGCTAACGCACTATTCTGCTGGACCACTTTCTTACCACAATGCTTCACCGCCCATTCCAACTATGAACACCACTTCGCAGTTTTGGTGCCAGAGCTGAAGTAGGCAGGTAGTCAATTGCGTGCTGCCGTCGATTCTTTCCTTTGTTTGGAGTAAATTGGATTCTGGTTTCTCATGGACCACACAAGCCCGATTGGTCTCATTCATCTCCTTTTACTGCGATTTGGAAAACTGCAACATTTTGATTGTTAGTGTAAAGTTCAATATTTTTAGCATTAAAGGGTACCGTGATGCTCAATTTCATATTTTCATCCTTGTCTAGACTCTTTCAGAAACGTTTTTGTAATAGCAGAAATGTTACTTCTGTGCTTCTTTTTTCCTCCTTGGTTTGCTCGTTTTTAGTATTGTTTTACCAAACGACAATTTATTATGGTTACATGTAGTCATAATTAATTACGCTGTAAAGGGGGGAAATTTGAGGGAGTTTTTCCAGATAATCATATTGGCCTTTTCATGTTTTTCTTGGATTCCCCTTTTCATGGGTTTTAATCTATAAAAAAAACAAATTTAGTAGTTACACCAATTTTATCCGTATGAACCGTAACATTTGATATTCCAAACATGGTCTCCAACCGTGACCATGTTTTAAGTTTATTTATCAAACACATAATTTTTTTTTCTGAACCGAAATGAGTAATAAACTAATAATTAAAATAAGTAATGTTAAAGTCATTTTTATGGCGGAATTGGCTCAAGATCCATTTTAACTATTTAATCAAACAATTTGTCTTCATTTTATTAAAAAACTTTATTACCTCTGTCCCACACAAATTTGCCAAGTGGATGTTAAATGGGAAATTGGAATAGTAAAAATTGAACCACAAATTCATTGTTTTTAAAGGAAAATGACAAAAAAAATTGGAAAAATTGATAGTAATAATCCTAACTATTGGCGGTCCGCTCATAATAATCCCAACTATTGATTATTACAGAATAATCCCAACTTTAGGGACCTTCCGCCAATAATGGTCCCGATGAATAAATTCTTGTAGTTTCTAAAGTGGATGAGGTGAGATATAACAAGTAATCCTTATAAATAATCTCAACTTTTAATTTTTTACGCTTAATTTCTATTTAAAATTCACTTTTTATAGAGGTAATATATGGTCATGGACCATTATTGGCGTCTATATAGTTAGGATTATACAAAAATAATCAATAGTTGGGATTATTTTCAGCGGACCGACTATAGTTGGGATTATTATTTTCAATTTTTCCAAAAAAAATTAGATAAACAAAATATTGGTAAAGTGCAATGGAACGGGAGGAAGTATCTTAAATACAATTTCTTCATACTTCAATTCTTTTAACCAAATTTTCCATTCAAGGATTTAACCAATTTGACTAGTACCAACCAAACTCATTACTAGTACGAGTATATTTTTTTGTACTTTGTTCCCATGTACCTAATTACTTTAGGCCTTTAATGAGGGGTTTTGTTTGGGCAACCTCTTACGTTTACATTTCTCCAATACGTTTACATTTTTTCCGTCCCTCCATTTCTACCTCTTTTATATACGGAGTATTAAATTCTTTTCTCTACCTTTTTGTCAGTATTCCCTAATTCCCCGTTCATTCTTGCTCCGTATATGATATTGTATGAACAAACTCCTGAGGATCATTTCAAAGTGGGCCAAACGATTTAGCTGTGCGAGTTGCATCGAATTTTAATGTGTTACGATTGATAAATGGCTAATCAGCCAGTTATTTACTAATTTCAACTACTCCGTATGTTTGATCGATCGAATCAATCAACATTCATGACTAGCGAGTGAAATAATTTATTACTCCGTAGATTGGATTGTCGAGACTGAAAAAGTTAAGAAAGCATAGTCTAGTTCTAGGACGCTAACGTTTTCATAATCACACGTTTGCATACATCACAAATCCTCGTTCTTTGCTTCTCTTTGCTCAACACTCAACACGTTCATTAGAATGTTTGGTCCCGATTGTCTTAGACACAATTCACTTGATCGATACAAATCATTCTTAATATTTTATTTTTTATATCAAATTTTTATCAAATTTGATTCAGGAGTTTGCGACTTTGTAAAGTTTTTAATGTAGTTTCTGCATATGTAAAAAAAATTATAAAAAATAATTTGAGACCGGACATGAAACTATTTACTTTATCGTCAGTCAAACATCGTAAAACGAATTGTCTTAATCTTTGTGAGACGGAGGTAGTATTTAAGTGTTATGACCTATATTTTCAATTTATAAGCTTTAGGACTTTATCAATCAATTTGATTTATCATCAAATATGTTGTTTTTTGACTTTGCATTTCTAATTGTATAATAATCTAAGCAAACCAAGTAAGATTGGAGTAATTATTGTGTTTTTTAACCCCAATTTTCATCAACCTTATTAGTTATTAGTCATCATCTTGACCAAACAATAAGTAATGCTGAAGATCCTCTTTATTCAAATGAGTTCATGTGAACACTTAAAAATTAAAGTGTAAAAATACACATAAAATAAGTTAGTTTACCTTTTAACTAGTATCTCTTACATTTAATCTTATTTACCAGTTTTTTATTGTTGAAAATGTAACATATATTCAATTCTTGGATCCAGTCTTGGACTCGGACCGGGTGGCCCGACCCAGAACCGGCCCGGGACCGGTACTGTGCTGAACCGGCCCCGCCTGGTGGCACAGACAGTAACCGGTCCGGGTAGGCCCTGTCCAGGGGGTTCCCGGTGCGGGCTTGGGTCACTCAAAAACCGAACCGGCTGGTTCGGGCCCGGTTCCGGGTTTTTTAATTTTTTTTTCAATTTTTTTTATCTTTTCGGGGTGGGCTGGGTATTTTGGACCATTTGGGGTAGTTTGGGGGTTGGGGGTGAGTGGGGGGGGGGGTTAATTAGGAAAAGGGAAAAAAATGATCCGAGGCCCGGCCCGGGACCGGACCCGGTGGCTACCCAGGCCGGTCCCGGGCCTCCTCCAAAAAACCCGAGGCCCGATCCGGGTCCATGACTACTTGGATCAAAGAATATTATTGTTCATTGTTTTAATGATAAGTTAAATTTGAACACCAAATGTTTGATTACAAGACCACCCCTGATTGAAGTAATTTTTATATCCGAATTGGCTCAAGTTGTCATGGAAGCCTATTTTTACTAATTTTGATGTCATTTTTTCAAATACGTAATTGTCAAGCTATGATTCTTATGTTTTGCCCGAATAAGTTTTCAAATACGTAGTTTTATTTTCCCGAATTTTGATACTTGGCAAACGGGCTCTCAATTTAGAAGGAACAGTGAAATGAGGTTGTGATAAGATTTCCAATAACTAGAATTTGATTATGAAAACGTCTGCATCTAACATTTAATTTGATACTGGGCAGACGTTAAGTAGGAGCAGAAAGGGTTGATTTGAGAGTTTTGTTTTTCCGAGGGTGATGCCACATGTGAACAGTGTCACTTCTGTGCGTGGGCATTACTGTATTTCTTAATTAAAGCAGAGAGGTAACATCCATTTCGCAATTTTACTTTGGGGTCAGTCAGAGGACGGTGCAGAAACATGAGTTTATCTGTATGTATCTTGTTAAAACCCAACTCAAACCTGCCTCTTTTCTACTGTGTCCCCCGACATTAACATTATACTACTCTGTCCCATTTTATGTGTCTCATTTGATTTTGATTTTTGATATAATTTTTAAAAGTGATTGAAAAAGTTAAAAGTTGTGGTTGAGATTTTAGTATAGAAAAGTACAATGTTGTGAACCACATATTTTTTTTCCAAAAAAGGAAATGTGACACTTATTTTGGGACAATCCCAAAAGAAAAGTAAGATAGGCAAAATGGGACGGACGGATAGGGGTGGACAAAAATACCGAACCGGCATGGTGCCAAATCAGACTGGTATGGTATCACACCGATAAACGAGGTTTGAAACGGATCTTAAATTATTTTGTCCTGAACCGAACTGAACCGGTTCCAAATAATGTCATGACGAGTTCTCATAAAATTAGAACCCGTACAGAACCAAACCTGACCGAAGTATGGTTTAATTATTTAAATTTATACTACTATAGTTTATTTGAAATTTATTAATTAATCCATTGATTGATTTGCAAAGTTAATTTTTTTGGTCAACCAATGTTAATGTTAAGTCCTCCCTATTGATAATTAATACAACTTTTAATAAGGTTTTTTTTATAAAAATATTACTAAAATAAAATTTATTTACACAAATATAACTATTAGTTACTTCAATTTAGTGTCGTAATAACTTAAGTTTAAAAATTGAAAATAAGTTACTATGATTTCATTACTACTCTAGTCACTAGTTACAGTTTTGTAAACAATCTTTATTTTAGTCAGAAATATGTAATTATTTATTTTAATAATTAAAATTTACATATTTAGAAACCACATCAAAATCTCTTTAAAGTTGCAAAATCCCAATTAGAATCTGTCAAATTAGAATATAATTAAAAAGTGACATCTAAATTAAGTGAATAAAAAGAATCTGTTTGACTAAAAAAGTTGACTTAGTGATAGTATAGAATTGTTATTGTTTATGTTTGTAATTTCAACTAGTTTTATTTATTGTTGTTTGGGAAATTACACACTTTTGGTGTAATACTTTATTTTCCATAGTTTATTGTAATTTGTTAATTTTAGAAGATTTTGAGCTTGAATAAAACAAAGGAGCATGGAAGATATATTACAAGACCAAAGGCCTTCCTTTGGTCTTTTCTCGGTCGGGTGCAAGAGAGCATAAATCATGCAAAAATGTGATTTGGTGACTTACCCGGTCGGGTATAATCTTTACTCGGTCGGGTATGACAAGAAAAAAGAAGCTTCCACGAAATTGGGCATTTACCCGGTCGGGTATGACACTTTACCCGGTCGGATATGACGTGACCCGGACAATTAAACGTGCTGAAGAACACAAGAACGTGGGAAATATTTGATTTTGACATTTACCCGGTCGGGTATGTCCATTTACCCAGTCGGGTATCCGCCCCAGGGTGTTGAAAACACCTATAAATAGCACACTTTTCCTTCACTTTTAATCAATCCTTCTTCCATACTTTTAATCTCAGTTATCTTATATATTTTTCTAGCATGATTAGTCTCCAAATGAGGAGCTAAACTCTCATTTCTTGGTTTTGGTCTTGAAGTTTATTGATTATTAAAGTTGTGAGTTATTTTCTTAACTTCTTCTCTTGATTATTAATTCTCCCCTTAATCTCATTCTATATTAGTGTTGAAGTGTTGCTAAGTGATGATTAGTTAACGCTTCGACATTAATTATTACTAGAAACGATCAACGAACCGATGATTAATCGTTGATGGTTTCACAAGTAAGTAACTTCGGTTTATTAATGCACGGTCGTGGTTAATAAACTTAAGAGGGATTAATTTTGTTGATTAAACCGAAACCGTTGTGTTGAGGTTATCAATCTCAATTGATTTCATCAAGGAGTTAAAAAGATTAAATGCT